CTCTCTCTCTCTCTCTCTCTCTCTCTCTCTCTCTCTCTCTCTCTCTCTCTCTCTCTCTCTCTCTCTCTCTCTCTCTCTCTCTCTCTCTCTCTCTCTCTCTCTCTCTCTCTCGCCCTCCTCGCTCTCTCTCGCCCTCCTCGCTCTCTCGCGAGGGCACTGCGCTGTGAACGATGTTAAGTGCAACTCGTGGTTGCGCGTAATCTAATTAGCGACGATTGTTAATCGCGCCGCTCGTGGTTACCGCGGCGACTCGGCAGCTGCCCGACCGTCGCCCCGCATCGATTACGCGCCTCGATTAACGAGTAATTAGCCGCCATGCTCTTCGCCGCATGAATCACTCGCGGTAATTACTCGCGAGGATGCTGCGCGGTGGGGATGAGGGACCGAGCGGTCCTGCAGCTGACGCTTGCCGCCAGGATGCGGAGGATGGAGGTTTGGCTTCAGGAAGCCTTAATGTCGGGTTGTGGTCCTGCAGCTGCCACGAGGATGCGGGTACTGGGGGCTTGGCTTCAGGAAGCCCTAATGTCGGGGCGCGGCCATGCAGCTGAGGATTGCCGCAAGAATGTAGATGCTGGGTCTTGGGTTCAGGAAGCCCTAATGTTGGGCTGTGGTCCTGCAGCTGACGGTCGGTCGTCGCCGGGATGCGGTTGCTAGCGGATGCGGGTGCGGATGATGTAGCTCAGCTTCACAAAGCCCGGAGGCTGCGGCACGGTCCTGCAGCTGAGGGTCGGTCGTCACCGTCGAGCGGCAGGGATGCGGATGCTATCACGAAGCCCTATCTCCCGCTGCTTGCATCCCGAGCATAGAGCGGGCAGTCCACACGACGGCGACCGGATGTGGGGCGAGAGCATAAGCCGACGCTGCGATAAATATTCGTGGTGAACGAACCCCGGCATGATGCGTCTGCCTCGAGAATTCGACGCGTCAGTGGGAGTTGAAGGGCGAAATCGGAATGATAGAAAAAAATAAATATCGGCTATCGATTCTCGTCTCCATCTTCGACTCGGTTGTCGGCGGCATCCTTCAGTTGTGAGGAAAGCACGAGAGAATCGTCAAATACGAAGAAGCTCGCGAGAGAAAGATCGTCGTGTATGTTTGTTTTCATCCTCCCTCTCCCACTCCTGTGCGCTCGTTGGTTTGTTGATGGTTTGAGTTATTCGCGAGGTCCCACGCGACTCGTGTGTGTAATCGTTGGTCGTTGCTCACTCTTTTCTCTCTCGTCGGTCGGCAGATACATAGTTCCACATAAAATGAAGGAGGTGAATTAAATAATGCTAGAAAAAATCAATGTTCAATGGCTACTCTTTCACGCTCTTTTTTCTCTATGTGTCTGTGTCTCTGTCTCTGTCCCTTTCTCTCTCTCTCTCTCTTTCTCTGTCTCTCTCTTCTGTCTTTCTCTCTGTCCCCGTCTCTCTTTCCCTGTCTCTCTCTCGCTCTGTCTCTCTCTGTCTCGCCCTCCGTCGCTTTCTCCCTCTCTTTTCCTGTCTCTCTCTCTTTCTCTCTCTCTCTCTGTGAAGTCCACCCCTCACTGACGTCTCTCCTCACAGGCACAAAGTATGAGCGGCGGGCGGACGGGGCGTTTGAGCCGACTCCGTCCGGTCTGGACATTGTGACCGCGGCAGAGGAACTGCGCATGGCCATCGAACTCGATCTCTGCGAGACTCAGAGCGGCGACCTGCCTGACGGCACCCGGCACTTCATCGCGCGCTGGCTAGGTGGCGCTGATGCTGCGACGGCGGCGAAGGTGGCGGCCCCTGGAGGCAGGGCCGTGCAGAACGGATTTGGGGTAAGTCGCACGTGCGTGGTTGTGGTTTAAAGTTACACAGTGTAGGACAATTTAAGACAATATACAATTTACAATATACAATTTACAATATACAATTTAGGATAATATACAATTTACAATATACAATTTAGGATAATATACAATTTACAATATACAATTTACCTATATTGTGTCTATTATCCTAAATTGTATATTGTAAATTGTATATTATCCTAAATTGTATATTGTAAATTGTATATTATCCTAAATTGTATATTGTAAATTGTATATTATCCTCAACAAGTCTACCGCACGACGAAAACCATTAAAACGTCGCAAAACACCCAACGAAAAACTACAAACTCAACCCCCACCCACCCCACATCACCCCCACCCACCCCACATCACCCCCACCCCACCCCACACTCCCCCCACCCCACCCCACATCTCCCACGTCTCACAACTTCAACCACGTTCGCACAACTCAAACGCCCCCCTCTCCACCTTGCAACTTAAACAGCCTATATTGTGGCAAAAATTTAAAAAATATTTTCCCGCCCACATTTGTGATGACACATGGCCACACTTGTGACAAAAATGTGTGTGATCAACCAGTTCTGGTTTTGAGATGTGTTGGCCACACATCCAGAAACGCTTTTTCTCATCGGAAACCCATCGAAGGATTAGTACTTAGTTGCTGTAGCGTACGTAGTCGGGTACACTAGTTCATATCAGGGGTTACGGGTAGATAATGACAATTGATTTGTCGTTATCTACCCCAGTGCATATTATACAAGGTGCTACTACACTTGGTTTTAGGTAAAACCCCGTGTTACGTGTGCACGGTTATATTTAAACGAACGTGGAAGGAATACTACTGAAATACGAGTACTAGGAATAAGTACGAGCTGCAGGTGTTGCACCAGCTCTACCTGTGTGGCCGGCTCTTCACATGCCTGTGCCCCATGTACCACCCTCGCGCTGTGGTCTCTAGTGTGCGCACGGGCTGTGTAGGTGCGCAGAGCTTGTGATGGCCCTGTCCCACGGTTTGGCGCGGCCAACAGCGCGCTGTACGGTGCTGCCACACGATGGGCGGGTTTTTACCGTAGCAGTTCACCAGTGCAGGGCTAAACATCCTCGAGCTATTCCTAGCAGCTGACAAAACAACGGGGACAACTAATGCAGGGGCGAGTACGTGGGAAACGCGCGCATTGTTATTGCGTGTAATATCCTGTTGATATTCTTTGTCCGTAAACATTGGCGATGCTGATGATGTTGATGATGAATCGATGATGATGATGATGATGATGATGATGATGATGTTGATGATGAATCGATGATGATGATGATGATGATGATGATGATGATGATGATGTAGAGGAGGAGGAGGGGGAGGAGAAGGATGAGAATGATGATGATGAAGAGGAGGAGAGGGAGGAGGATGATGAGTCATTAATATTGAGCTTGAGTCATAACAGTCGGTATGCATTCTTCGTTCACCTGTTTTGACTAGGTGTGGTGAGCAGAACCGGTAAACACTACTGTATGTAAACATCTTCAATCGTGTGTTATACATCCACGATTGATAACCAAGTCCCGCCGTTTACATTTGCACAGATTTCCTGCTCGAGAGAGAGAGAGAGAGAGAGTGGGGGTGAGAGGACAGGCGAGAACGAGAGAAATCGAGAGAGGAGAGGGAAGGAAGAGAGTGAGTGAGAGATAGATAAAGGGAGCGTGGGAGGGAGAGCGATGAGGGAGAGAGAGAGGGGGAGAGAGAGAGAGAGACGAGGAAAGATAGGATAGATAGTAGATAGATGGGGGAAGAGCAGGAGAAGAGGGAGAGAAGAGACGAGAGAGAGAGAGAGGGAGAGAAATAGAGAAGAGAGGAGAGGAGAGAGAGATCGAGAGAGGAGAGAGAGAAGAGAGAGAGAGAGAGATGAGAGGAGAGAAGGGAGGGAGAGAAATAGAGATAGAGAGAGAGAGAGAGTATGAATTAGAGTAAAAAGACAGATAATACGCGTGTATGTGTAAATTATATCGACACTATATCTTAATTAAATTATATAATCACAGAGACTGCGTAGCGCCAGCAGTGATTACAACGCCAGCAGCCTCCTGTATGCACTCCGAATCCACACGACACATATAGACTATAATTATATAATATAGACTCTACCCACGGCCTCGGCATCTCATCCTAAAATAAACACGTCCTGTCGCAAATACAGATAGAATACAAATAAGAGCATGCGGCATGCACACATCATGCTCATCTGCTCCCGTACCCTTTTAAAAACGTGTGTGTGTGCGTGCGTGTGGTGCGTGTGCGTGTATATGTGCGTGTGTGTGTGTGTGTTCGCATAATCTGCGCAGAAGTGCTAAAACGCGCTGGCAAGCGTCTTGCCTAAAGGTCGCGCAAAGGTCGTCGCCATTTTCCTTCCCGCAGTAACACACTAGCGCGCACTGTGTGTATATTCATGAGCGTGCGCATGTTTCCTCTCGTCCTTCTCCCATCCCTCCTCATAGAGCCATCTTACGTCTCTCATTCAGTGGAGAGGACGCTAGCTGTAGCAGTGAGGGAGAGGGGTGGGTGCTGCGGGACCAGCGGGAAACAGTGAGCGGTAACAGTGTAGAGTAGCCACGATAGTGCAGACACCCTGGTCTCCAGCCGTATAAATTATAGTTCTGTAGTGCCGTCACGGTGACCCTCCCGTCCAACATCATCATCATCGTCGTCATCATCATTATCATTATCATCATCATCATCATCGTCGTCGTCATCATCATCATCATCATCATCGTCGTCATCATAGTAATCGTCAGCGCATCACACATGTACTTACGATGTGCTCACTCATCTTGACATGTCGATGGCGACCAGTCCTCCTCCACCACCACCACGGCCGGCAGCAGCTCCTGTATTCCCCGCCGTCTTCTCCTAGTTAGTTAGATATAGCGGCGTTAGTGAGACACGATGCGATGCGATGGGAGGCTGGGAACAACAAGCCGCTATGGCTTCCCGATTCAGTTCCACGTTTCACAGTGTCGAACGGTAGCTGTGAACACGCTCGCTGCTCTCTCTCTCGTCTCTCTCTTACTTTCAAAGAATCTCTGCTCTCTTTCTCGCCTTATCTCTTCTCGCTCTCTCTCGCCGCGGCGGAACATTATTTGCGGATTTCTGTTTCTTAAAATAGCGGCACATGGAGTGCATCGTGCATGGTGCACACACTAAAGAGGAGAGCGGGGAGATGCGTGCACACGCTGCCATGAAGGGAGGAGGAAGAGATGAGAGAGAGGTAGAGAGAGAGACGAGAGAGAGAAAGAGAAAGATGGAGCGAGGAGAGCAGAGAGAGAGAGAGAGAGAGAGACGGAGAGAGAGAGAGGAAGGAGGAAGGAGAGACGAGAGAGGAGGAGGAGGGACGGAGGGAGCGAGAGGACGAGAGAGAAGAGGGAAGAGAGAAGTAGAGAGAGAACGAGAGGAGGAGAGAGAGAGACGAGACGAGGAGAGAGAGATAGAGAGAGAGAGTGAGAGAGAAGAGAGAGAGAGAGAGAGGCGATGAGGAGAGAGAAGGGGAGAGAGAGAGATTAGAGAGAAGAGAGGGGGGGTGGGATAGGAAAGAGAGAGAGAGAGAGAGAGAGAGGCGACGAGAAGAGAGAGAGAGGAGGAGAGATAACTGGGGGGGGAGAAGGATAGAGAGAGGGAGAGGGAGAGAGAGGAGGAGAGAGGGAAGAGAGGAGAGAGAGAGAGAATGAGAGCGAGAGAGACAAGAGAAGAGAGGAGAGAAAAGACACAGACAGCAAGGGGAGAGAGAGAGAAGGAGAAGAGAGGAGAGAGAGGAGAAAGACCGTCCACTCGAGAAAGACCAACAGAGAGAGAGAAAGCGAGCGGGAGAGCGAAGAGAAAGGATGGAGAGAAGAGAGAAAGACAGACAGACCGAGGAGAGATGAGAGCGAGAGGAGATTGAGAGAAGGAGAGAGAGAAAAGAGAGAAAGCGAAAGAGAGAGATAGCACACAGAGAGAGCTGTACACACACTACTAAGAATGAAGGAGGAGAAGGATGTGAGGGAGAGTTGAGAAGCCAAATATCCACCCTGCTAGAAGTCACCGCAGAAACCTTCATGTGGGGTAGGCTGCCTTCTACATTACGCTCCCTTCACGTCTGCTCGCGTGGTCTGCGCTGCATCACAGGCACTTGGAGCGTTTCAAAAAATATAATCCTAAATAAATACGAAATCTATTACTACAAAGTCATACTCTGTTTCTTACTCTCTTATCGCTATTATTGCAACAACTTAGCTGTAAATGCCGAGTGCAAATGCTTCTTCTGCAAACACACTGTACACCGCGCGCCACGCTGCCCGAGTATATATATATATATTAACATCACTTTGGTAGAAAATTAGATTTGCGTAATTATTTAGCATTATCTTTTATATGAAACCCTCCAGTGCCTGTGCGCTGCATATGGATTGAATGTTTAAACGGTTCAGCACAACAGCGTTCTGTTCCACTAGCGTGATTAGCGCGAAGGGGTCGTGTCGTATCAAGACTACAGATATGTAACCGAGTACATATCAGGTATACACAAATGCATACCAGACTTGTACTTTCATTTGTTTTTTTTTATTCTACAGAAGTGTACCCTAACTAGCGGTCTAGCCCTAACCCTATCCCTAACCCTAACACTAACCGCTAAACATACCGCATATAAAATATAAACATAGATAACTAACAACCTAAACCGTACCTCAGGTACATATCTGTAGGACCTGATACGACAACGACCCCATCTTGCGTTATTTAGCGTACAGGCCGACGTGCGAGAGGCTGGCCGCGTTTAGTATGTTGCTTCATGTATGAGTTATGAGTTCGGGATGGTATGTTTTTGGAGTGGGAGGGGTGTAATAACTCATGCGTATTGCGCCGGGGTCTGACGCTTGCCCTCCACCTCGCAACGCTTGCGCCTGTATTTAATAAACCCAAGTCATATACCTACGCAGGTTCATGTGACCGGACCGGCTCCTTCACCCTGAGCTGCCATCGATGGCGTCCTGCGGTTGTAGCGGCGCAGGGGAGGCCCGTTAGCGGGGCAGGGTAGCGGAGGGGGGGACAAGTCTCAGCAGTTGAGGATGTTCTATGCGGGGCGGACGTCAGAAAATGAATGAGAGAGGGGGGAGAGAGTGAAGAAGGAAAGAAAGGGGGAGAGAGAGAGAAATGAAAGAGGGAGAGAGGAAAGAAGGTGAGAGAGGAGAGAGAGCGCGGAGGAGAGAGACGGAGAGAGAAGAGAGGAGAGAGAGAGAGAGAGAGAGAGAGAGAGCGAGAGAGAGAGAGAGAGAGAGAACGAGAGAGAAGAACCATCATAGCCGGTTTTCTGGTCACTTCGTAAAACGCGGACGTGGCCAGCAGCCGATCGGCGGGCACTGCAATGCAATCCGTCCTTGGATTTCTCCTTCCATGCCACCCTCTCAATCTCTCTCTCGATATCACAATGAGTTATTTATCGTGAGCTGTGTCGGTGGTAGAGGCGGTAGTGTATACGTGTGTGTGTGTGTATAGTCAGGGTACCTGGCGTGGGTACCTGGCGTGGCTGCACGTCTGCACGCACCTGTGTGGTAGTGATCTACGTATCTGAGCGCAGACATGATGTCTAGAGAGATTTACCTAGCGCGGACGAGACACTCGTGGTGGGCCAACAAAAACAATGTGAGTTATTACCCCAGCCCCTCCCCTATGGGGGGGGCCCCGGTTAGTGGGGATGTGTAAATATGTCAGAGAATGTATAGACCTAGGCCCTACTATATCCTTTTGTTATAATAATTGTTTTATTATACTATATATGTTTGTTATGATAAAACAGTTTGTTTTTATTTACCTCCTGATATCATATATAGCATTATATTTTTAACATAAGAGATAGGGCATTAGGACTTACGTGTGCGTGTAAACAAGCACATGAGCGTTCCAGCCCTGTTAGTTTGCTTATTAAGTAGTTTTATTATGTATTAAGTAGTTTGCTTAGTGTAGTAAATGTAGGGTATATTAGTATAATAACTCGTATTATGTGACTGCAGATGGCGCTGTACTCGTAGCAGCTCAGTTAGCGGTGTCTTTGGGAGTTAGGTCTTGCCGTTTCGGTATTGGCTAGTATCGTCTCTGTTTGCTCGAAGCTTCTCTCTCTCTCTCTCTCTTTCTCTCGCAATTTTCATCTATCTATGTCGCTAATAGAGAGACTCGTCTGATGGGCTGGTGTCACGGGCGAGTAGCGCGTACACAGACAGCCGTGGTACAGTGACCGCAGCATGAGGAGGGAGAGTGTTTCACGGATCTCAGCTGGGGATCTACATACATCAGGAGTGTATAATATATACACTATATTACTATACTACTATCAGAAGTAGATAATAGGGCTACTATGCTACTATATTATATTACTATGTATATATATATATATACTATATTATACACTCCTTTATACGTACGTACGCCAGGCTTAGCTATACTGCTGGTGCTGCTGGCACCCGCTCTCATAGCTGCTTCACCTGCATGTGCACAGGCAGTAATCGGCGATAAATGGACCATAGTATGGTGGCCCACATGTCATGACCATTAAAAATCTTCAATTCAGGCGGCGGTCATGATTATTAATAACATTGTTGTTGTTTTTACTCTGATAGTCGCGCGCGGGACATTATAGAGCTGGACATTATATATAAGCTGCGCAGTGTTACATGCATAGATTCAGGCGTGTACAACAACAACAACAACAACAACAACAACAACAACAACAACAACAACAACAACAACAACAACAACAGCAACAACAACATCATCATCATCATCATCATCTTGGATTCAAGGGTGGACAGCAACAACATCATCATCATCATCATCATCATCATCATCATCATCATCATCATCATCATCATCATCATCATCATCATAGATTCAGGGGGTGGAGGCGTGATGTGACATCACATTGATATTCATGACATCACGCGTACGAATTAGCTCCAGGATTAGGAGTGAGGATTAGGTGCTATCCCCCTCCCCAATCACCGCCCCCATCACTCCCACTGATATATAGCAGGCTAAAGACAACGAGATCACGGATGCTGACCACTGGATGCTAGCTCACCGCACAGCTACAGCTGATGTACACTCAACTCTACATGTGAAGCCCTTTCGCTCTCGCTACAAGAAAACTTACTCTACTCTTGTGGAGGCAGCGAGGTTGCTACACGGGTGAGGCTGGTAGGCAGTTCCTACTACTAGCAGGAAGCCTAATGTTGATACGAGACGGTATGATAATAAACCAACGGCCAGACGCTGTGAAGTAATGAGAGGTGCAGTGTGCTAACGAGAGAGGTGGCGAGGGAGCCGGTGAGCTGGAGAGAATGGGAAAGAGAGACAGAGAGAGGGGGTTATTTACTCCCAGACGACTAATCGGCGAAATTATTTTACGATGGCGTCTGTTTGTTTTCTAACGATTGCGGATGTACGATGGTGGCGGTTAGAGAGCGGTTCTTTGTTGTGTCGTTCAGGATGACGTACAGCCCTCCCTCTCCCTCCCCCTCCCCCCGCCGCCTCCCTCCCCCACCGCCTCCCCCTCCCTCCCCCGCCGCCTCCCTTCCTTTCTCTCCGCCTCCCTCTCCCCATACGCCGTCTTCTCCGCCGCCTTCCCCACCGCTTCTTCGCCCCTCCCCCTCTGCCTCCCTTCCTCNTCCCCCTACGCCGTCTCCCCCTCCGCCTCCCCCTCCCTACCCCATTTCTCGCGCGAAAATGTGCGTTTATGATTTTATTGCGTGCAAGTACGAACTGCGTTAGCACGAATTGATTGAGCCGTGAGTTGCGAATTCCCGTGAGGTGTGTGTCATTAATCTGACGCGTGGTCGTGCGTGAAAAACATGTATATGGTGTGAATTTGGCGAATTCCTTGGGAGAGGGGTGGGTGAATAAAATACGTGCGAATTGTAGTACACAAACAGAGTAAACACGGTGTTACTCTGCGTGCGTGCGTGCGTGCGTGTCTGTGTATGTGTATGCATGGTATGTGTATGTATGTGTGTGTGT